CGAGATAGGAGGATAGTGAGTTCAAAGCCAGCCTCAGCAACTTAGCAAGGCCCTAAGCAAATCAGTGAAATCCTGTCTCTAAATAAAAAGAGCCGAGGATGTGGCTCAGCGGTTAAGCACCCCCAGTTCAATCCTTGGTACCAAAAAAAAAAAAAAAAAGAGAGCGAGAGAGAGAGAGAGAGAGAGAGAGAGAGAGGTAGAGTGAAGATAATAGTCTCTCATTTTGTCTTCAAATAGTGCTTCAGATTGTGGAGCTGTGCTAAATAATATTCAAGATTCCATCTTGTATGTTTGTATTTCTGTGGAATACTAAAAGTCTTTATTACTGTCAATACATGCATAGATAAAAAAAATTCTTTTTATCTTTGTCATTCAGAAATGTCTATGTGTCAGTGTCAAGTTATTTGACCAGTGTAATGTCATTCCATAGTGAGGATGAAATCATGGATAGATTATGACACAATCAAAATAAGGGATTCTCTCCTGGCACTTGACATCTCTGCTGTTGTCAAAGCAACTTGAAAAGCCTGTTGCTGCCCATAACATAGAACTGTATTTCTCATAAAATGGTCCTTTGACACCTGCATCAGAACTAGCTGGGGGACAGTTAAAAATGCAGCTTTCATAGTTCACCCCAGCTATTACATTGAAATATCTCAGAATGGGATCATTTTAATAAGCTCTTCAGGTGACTCTGATGAAAGATAGGGTTTGAGAACCCTTGACACAGAGAGAGTGTGACTTGTCAAAATTGCACTTATGGCCATGTCACCCTCCTATCTGTACTCATAATTGGCTCCTCAAAACAGAGAACAATTGAAAATGTCCAACCTGTCAAATGCCATCTTCCTGGCCTTGTTTCTGGCTGGGTCTCTTGTTTTTTTTTTTTTTTTCCCCTCTCCCTACTGATCACTGTGTGCTGAAAATTCCAGCTACAAGGATTGTTTACAAATTGTCTAACTAGAGCAAGGTGTTTCCAGGCTAAGTTAGCACCATTGCTCTTTCTTTATGTAGATTCCTATCACTGATCCTATCATATTGAATTATAAATGTGTTCTTTTCCTATTCATCTTATTAACTAGACCATGAAAGCCTGAAGACAAGGTAAGTGTGTCGGTTTGGTTGTAGACAATAGAACTCAAATCTGAATAAATTATGCAAGAAACAAGGTGTTCTATAGCTCAAAGATAAAACAAAAGTTTAAACTGGACCTGGTGACACATGCTTGTAATCCAATAGACTTGGGAGGCTGATCCTAGAGAATCACAAGTTTGAGGTCAGCCTGGAAAACTCAGGAAGACCCTGTCTCAAAATAAAAAAAAAATTAAAGGGGCTGAGGATGTGGTTCAGTGGTAGAGCACTGCTGGACTCAAACTCTAGTATTAAAAAAGAAGAAGAAGAACAAGGCGAAAAAGATTTAGCAACTATACTTCAGAGGGGCAGATTTCAGATTTCAGTGACAGGAACTTCTATGTATGAAAGGAAAGGGCCTTGAGAATAAAAAGTGGAGACTATAGGTGACAGTCCCATCAAAGTCATTGTTATAACAGTAAAACATATACACATACATAAATATACAATTGCATTTAATATTATGCATGATTCATAGTAATCAATCAACTTAGTTAAATTCTGGGACAATTCCTCCAACAGAAGTGTATGTGTAGTTACAGAAGAACAAGATGAAGAGATAGTTGCTCAGCAGCATAAAAATAAAGTAAAATAAATAGATGGCCATTCAGCTGGTCATTTTGGGCCTTGACATCTGATTGTGCCCCTAACATCTATTGAGGTACTTAACACAAAGTAGGTTCTCATTGAATGCTTGCAGAGTGAATGAAGTCAGAGAGAGAACAAACACTTACTTAATACCACCTGCCAGGCAATAAGTCAAGGGTTTCATTGTTCTTGCATTTAACCTCTGACAATAATTCTGCAGGTAAACATTATCTGTTGTTTTTCATATGAAGAAACTAATGACCAAGAAGAAAACTGCCAAGGTCATTCAGGTTGCAAGAAAAGGAGCTGTGACTTTGAACATGTCCACACTAGTTTCCCCCATTAGTAAATATATAATGCTTTTTGCCCATAAAATATATATCTTATATTGATTTTTTTATTCTTTGGTAACATCCCTTTTTATTTATTTATTTTTTTTAGTGTCTTTGAAACACTTCCATGCTAACCCAAATGAAGGAAAGCCAATATTTCATAGTGGTTAAGCACACTGATAAGAAGAGCCAGATTTCACGAGCTCAACTTCCAGCTTTACTTTTTTTTTTTTTTTAAATATTTTTTAGTTGTCAATGGACCTTTATTTTATTTATTTATATGTGGTGCTGAGAATCAAACATGCTGGGCAAGGGTTCTACCACTGAGCCACAACTCCAGCCCCCTTCCAGCTTTACTTTTTACCATAAATGTGATCTTAGTCAAATTTGAACCTGTCTTCACCTCTATTTTCTGGAAATCAGTATGATAATGTTAATTTCCTATCTCATAGGGTTATTACGAAGATTAAATGAGTTAACATCCCCATCCCTTTTATTTTATTTTTATTTGAGACAGTGTCTTGCTAAGTTGCTAAGGGTCTTGCTAAATTACTAATGCTGACCTTGAATTGGTGATCCTCCTGTCTCAGCCTCCCAAGTCACTGGGAATACAGGCACAGGCCATAATGCCTATATACTTCTAAAATTTTATGAAATACTGCCAAATGGACCTATAAATGATAAGCCGCTATTTTTAACATTACTTTATCTATTTGTTGAGTCAATTTATCACACTTTACCAAACTTATCAAACTTTACATTTTCCTATGATAGACATTCAGCTTCCTCTGATTTTGCTAATAAAAATAAGCTCCAATGAATCTAGAAATGTCTTTCTCATTCCCTCAATGCTTCTTGAAGTTACAAATTCACTTCATCTTTTCTGCAAAGAAATAAGTCTACTTGAGTTAGCTACATGAAAGCCACCAGTGACATTGATGATGGAACCATTTGGGGACATATAGAGGTAGAGAGGTCCTTACAGAACCCAGACTGGACAGGACAAAGAGTGGAAAATTAAGAAATGGAGACATAAAAGTAGAAAATTAGCTCTAGAGATTTGATTTTGAAAAGATTTAGGGGACAAGCTGAGGGACAAGTAGAATCAGGAAGGGTTTTTTTTTTCTTTTCTTTTAGAGATAAGAGTAACTCTTTATTTTTCATCTACCAATCTTCCCCTGCTGGTCCAGCTCCACACATCTTCTCTGGTCTTTGTTCCTATCCCACTCACAGTTCCCAGTGCTTTTCCAGTGCTTCTCTAAATTTGTGAATGGCTGACTCCTTTTTATTATTCATGACTGCTCAATTGTTACTTAATTCAAAAAGTTTTCTCTTTCTTATTCTTCCTTTTTTTTGCCATGATAAAGGTTAAACCCAGGGCCTCACACAGGCACTCTATCCCTGAGCTACATCCCTAGTCCTTTTCTTATTTTATGTGAGACAATAAGTTGCTCATTGCTGGTCTGAAACTTACGATTTTACTGCCTTGCCCTCAGGAGTAGCTGGGATTATAGGTGTGTACCATCATGCCTGACCTTATTTTTTTCCCCATCCTTATTCTTTGTGTTTATCTTCTTTATTTTTGTTGTTGTAGTTTTTTGTTTGTTTGTTTGTTTGTTTGTTTGATACTAGGGATTGAACCCACAGGCTTTTTACCACTGACTTATACCTCTAGTCTATGTATTTTTTTATTTTGAGACAGAGTCTCACTAAAATGCTTAGGGCCTACCTAAATTTCTGAGGCTGGCCCAAAACTTGTGATCCTCCTGCCTCAGCCTCCAGAGTTTCTGGGATCACAGGCCCAGGCCATAATGCCCTATTTCTTGCTGGTTCTTGTTTGAGATGATTTATTCATTTATGTGATCATCACTTATATTTTCTTGGGGAAACAAGATGAAGCTTAAGGGATCATTATGTATTAGAGGTATGATATACCTTATATGTGTGTTTTGAATGTTGTTCTGTAAAACTACATGAGAATTTAAAACTTGCTCAAGATTTTTGTCTTTTTAAACTAAATTATGTGATTCTGTGAGATTTGACTTTTTATTTGTTTGTTGAAAACTTATCACAGATAGTGTCTGGCATGCAGTAAGCACTAAATACCTTTTTTTGAGAATGCATTAAGTCGGGGCTGGGGATGTGGCTCAAGCGGTAGTGTGCTCGCCTGGCATGCGTGCGGCCCGGGTTCGATCCTCAGCACCACATACAAAGATGTTGTGTCCGCTGAAAACTAAAAATAAATAAATAAATATTTAAAAAAAAAAAAAGAAAAGAAAATGCATTAAGTCAGTGAGTGATATCCAGTCTTGGTCATGTTAAAAAATGATAGGTGGGGTGGGGAGAGTATACAAACAGTAGAAAGAAATCCTTAGTTGAGGAAACCAGAATCCCTGTCCTAGAACCAAGATTTGAATTCAGATCTCTTTCAAAACCCCATCCCACTTCTCCATTTATGGAGCACTGAGTAGATGACTAATCTACTAGTGATCATCTGTGATAGTCTGTGTCTTAAGAGACACTCAACCTTGAGGGTTTATATTTTTGTTTTTGGTACTGGAGATTAATCTCAGGAGTACTTAATCACAGAGTCATATCCCCAGGCCTTTTTAGTTTTTATTTTGAGACTAGGTCTTTGCCAAATTGCTTGAGGGTCTTACTAAATTGCTGAGGCTGGTTTCGAGTTTGTGATCCTAGGGTCTCAGCCTCCTGAGACCCTGGAATTACTAGCCTAAGCCACCACAACCAGCTGTTTTAGGTCATCTTTGCAGTTTATTATGATTTCAATGTGGAGGACTGATAGGATCATCATCTCTCAGGTAGGTGTTTTCTAATTACCATAAAGCATGACCAGGATATCACTCTCCTTAATTTGTGACCAGAGAGAAGAAGGCGTGTGCCTTAGCCTGGCAGGTTCACTGTCTGCCCAAGTCTTCTCTGCGAAAGAGGTTTCAGGTTTCAATTCTCCCAGGACCTCAAGACATCGCAGCTTGTGAGGTGCGGCTGTCGACTCCGCCTCTGCACCCCAATCAAGGCAGCTAGCGAAAGACAATTTCAAACCCAGGGCTGCGCACTTGGCCCGCCCTCGACCGAGGTTGAACGCGGCGGCGGAGACGGCTTCCAGGCTGTGCTAGCTGGGCGAGCTAGGAGGCGGCGATCACAGCTGGGCTGGGACTTCCTTCCTCCACCGCAGGACAACAAAACAACCGAGAGCCGGCACTGAGCTCTTGGCAGCTGTCTGAGCGAGACTCGCAGCGATGGGCTCCCTGCTGAGCAGCGACAGCAACAAATCCTCGCCAGCCTCTGCCACCCCACGGGCGGTGGAGCGCAAGGGGGACCCCGAACTGCCCGTTACGTCCTTCGACTGCTCCGTGTGCCTTGAGGTGTTGCACCAACCCGTCCGGACCCGCTGTGGACACGTGTAAGTGTCTGGGGAGCTCGGCTTGCACGCCTACCCTCTGGGGAGGACGATGTTGGGGAAGCCGAAGGCATGGTGTGTGTGTGTGTGTTTTAAAAGAAGCCAGCGCGTTAGAAAACTGCTGCAAGGATAAACCTCAAACCGCTGGGGGCGGGCCACGGGGAAAATGCCTCATCGGAGGGTTGCACAGAATTTCGGTAGGGGAAAACAAACAATCGGGCTACGCAGCACCCTAAAGCTGCCTCCCCCTGGAACCCAGGTGCCTGCTCCAGAGATAGGGATCCAGGCGCTGGCCAGCGGAGAGCCAGGGCTTGCCAGCTGGTGGAGAACCAGCGCACGTCCTGGCACAGAAAGGAAACAAGCGCTGGCCACAGGGCTCCCACAAAGCAGTTTTCCCGCTGGACTTGGTTGAACCGGCTGTAGCTTCTCTCTCCCCACGAGACCTCGAGTGGTTTTGTTTTGCCCTATGTGTGCACGTGCTGCAGAACCCTCACGGAAGCTGGGTGTCTTGAGCAATCGGGGGTCTGTGAAAACTGCCCTTCCATCCCAATCCCGCATCTGTTTACACACACACACACACACACACACACACAAACACACACACACCCCTCAAAGATCTTCAAGTCCAACTGGAGCATCTGAGTGACTTTTCTGAAGTCGTTGGACAACAACATGGGGCATGAGACTTGAAGTTAGAACCAAACCAATGATTGTAAGCCATTTAAAACCCAGCCACAAAGTGACAGGAGGCTGAAGATTACCTGCTTTATGCTCGCCTCTCCAAACTGAAAGTATGATTAAAATAACTTTCTTAAAAGCCACGGTACTATTTACTTGAAACTCAGTTGGTGCAAAGCACGGTCGTTTTTAAGAAGGGTTTAAAAGTTCCTATATAAAATCTGCGGGTCTTTAGCGAGAGCTTGAGTAGTAATGTGGTGGAAATTGGATCTGTAATTCGTGTTCACTGTTCACTTAGGAGAACTGCCCCCTTATATGGGTGTGAGTGTGGTTGTTGTTGTTGTTGTTGTGTGTACATGATGCACAGATCAGGAGTGAAGCCACTTAATGTCACCTGGTAGATGAAGCACAGGAGCAAAACCTCAGTTGCTTAAATGGGCTTTTGGCTTACCAAGAAAGAAGAAAAGGCATATTAAAAATGCAAACGTACAAAGTGCTTTTGAAAGAATTTAAGCGGTCCTTGAGAAGCAGTTTGCACCATTGCTCATCAGTGAGCCAGGGAGAAAAGTGTGCTGCCCACACATATTTAAGTAGAGTGCTCTGGGCATTATTTTGTGACTGTATTTTCAGGGCCTTTTTTTTTTTTTTTTTTTTTTTAAGCTTTGTACTTTAAACTCATGGCTTAAATTTACCCCCTTTCTACTTATTGATGTTTCCCAGTCATCCAGACATAGCTCATTGACACAATATCCAAAGGCCAGTATGAAAGCAAAAAATGCTGTTGTGTAACAGGATAAAGTATGTTGATGAGATCAGGATAATAATAACCTGAAGATAACTACATTAATTTAATCTTTATTAGCATTAAGACTAAAGTTGTGCCAAAGATGAACAGAGAGTCTTTAGTTCCTTCTGTAAAACTGGAATGGGCATCTGGAGGTTGTTTTTTGAGTTTGGAATTTGGACACTATAATTTATTGTTTACAGTGTTCTGGCTTCTACTAAAGGGTAATATAAATTTGCAAAATGTCAAATTTTTAGTTTAATCTTTTTCTTTGTTAAAGTGAACAGGAAGCCAGGGACTGGAAAAATAGTCATAAAATAGCATAACAAAGGCTGGACAAACTGTCTTCCCTAACTTTACTGTTCTTTGTTTGGACAAATCGATGTCCATTGTTCTGGCTGTGGGCAGAATTTCCATATTCCTCCTTTTGGCAAATTTACTTGGGCTCCTTCCACTTTATAAATGTTAACCAGAGTCCCTTTTACACTGGAGACTGTGTGTTAACACCATTTGTGCACACTAAATGAATTAATATTTTCCAATGAATATAGAAAATAAAGAAATGCAAACGGAATCTCTATTTTATTATTCCATATTGAAATTAGATTTCCAAACTTATTGAACTAAGTCTTTTTATTCTGGTTTCTGTTTACAAACCTATTTCAAGTCAAACAAGTATAATAATGAAATGATACTCTGAATATGTATAGAGTACTTTATAAATTGTATTGTAACAGTAGAAACTGGGCATTACAGAGCACTAGACTTAATTCAACTCTGCCACTAGCCAGCTATGCAACCATTAAACTGTTGAATCTTTTTGAATCTGTTTCTTTTCTTTTTCTTGTACCAGGGATTGAAATCAGAGGTGCTCAATCACTGAATCACATCCCTAGTCCATTATTGTATTTGGAGACATGGTCTCATTAAGTTGCTTAGGGCCTCACTAAGTTGCTGAGACTGGCTTTGAATTTATAATCCTCCTGCCTCAGCCTCCCAAGCTTCTGGGATTACAGGTATGCACCACCATACCCTGCTCTCAGTTGTTTTTTATTTGTAAAGTGAGGTGAACAGTGCAATTTTGTAAACATTTAGAATATAAAGAAATTCCATATTAAAGATTAAGGGCTGGGGCTATAGCTCTGTGGTAGAGCACCAGCTTCTTTTGCACGAGGCCCTAGATTTGATTTCCAGCACAGAAAAAAGAAAGTTCAAAATATGGTTTCTATTTCCTTCAGTCATTCAATGAGCAAAACACCCATGAACAGTTATTGTTTGTTATTTCTGAATTTTTTTGTTTTTTGGAAGCAAACTGGGCCGCAAAACGTAAATCTATAACATTTCCAAGATGTCTCAGATAGTCTTACTTTTAGCTTTTTTCTTTTTCCTGTAGGAGACTTGAAGAAGCTTTTTTTTATATATATATTTTATCTTTTTAAATTGGCTTTGTTCATATTACTATATTAGTCATAAAAACATTTGGGGGAAAGGGCTTCTTAACTCTGAATCTTCTATTATCAGAGCTGGGAAAAGAGAGGATAGATAAATTGAAGTTGTATGAATTGAGCTCAAAAGGAATTTGATTTACAGATAAAAGAAATATTCAAAATATTCAATTGCTGTCAGATTGGATATACAGAGAAATATATCAAAGACAACTCCCAGATTTTAAGCCCAGTGATAAAGAGAGGAGGAGAGTTTGATTCAGGAGGAAGTTAATGAACTTCCAAATGGGCCTGTTGAAGATAGAGTAGTCCCATATGAAAATATCTAAGTGGAAATAGTCCAAAGATCCTGAGAGAGTAGGATTAGAGAAAGAACTGGAGGGAGTTATCTGAGTAGAATATAGAGATTGAGAATGAGCCCAAGACGGCTGAGCACTAACTGGGCATATGGTAAGGTTGAAAGAGCCACATCTCCAGTGAACTCAATGGATATGACTGGTCTGTGTCACAGAAGGTGACTAATTTTGCTTCAGTGAAACTGTCAAGGATAATTCTGAAGTGCTTTCAGGTATATGGATTAAAACATTCCATTTGTGGTCAAGTATGAGCAGAAAATCCTGCCCCAAATTGCTGGTTCTCTAAGTAGAGTCTGAGTGTCTTCCTGGTGAGTTCTAGACTGATCTAGAAATATACATCAGTGCTTTCATTCCATTACATTTCTTTTTTTTTTTTGCTGTGCTGGGGATCAAACCCAGGACCCCAAGCATGCTAGGCAAGTGCTCTACCAACCCCACCCAGAGCTTTCATTCTTACAGGAGATATTAATCCCAAAGACTTCTTGTTTAATCTGAGATTAAAGATTTTATCCTATTATTTATTATAGATTTTTTTAAATCTACTTATGTAGTACCTGTTAGTGGAGTTTCTCTAGAGAAACAGCCAATAAGGAAGGGTGTACATGTTAATTTCCTGGCAGTATCATTGAATCTGTTGGAAAAAAGTGACAGTAAATTAACAGGAGAAAAGGCACACAGTTCATTAAAGATCCAAAGGTGCTGGGCACTGTGGAGCACACCTATAATCCCAGAGGCTGAGGCAGAGGGATGGCAAATTCACAGCCAGCCTCAACAATTTAGTGAGGCCCTAAGTAACTCAGCGAGACCATGTCTCTAAATAAAATATTTGAAAGGGCTGGGGATGAGGCTCAGTGGTTAAGCGTCCCTGGATTCAATCCCTAGTACCAAAAATAATAAATAAATAAATAAATAAATATAAATAAATAAAGGCCCAGAGACATCACAGAGTGAACACCCAACAACCCAGTGAGATTCAGAAACTTACACACTTTCTTCATAGGGGAGAGAGAAGGGAGACCTGTAAGCATATCTAGAAGGCTATAAAATATTTTTAGAGGAGATGAATGAGCTTAAAGAACAAAGTTTTTCTCATTTCTGGGTATGGTGTCAACTCTAGGTTTCCTTTTTTTTTGTGGGGGGGGGGGCGGGTAACAGGTAACAGCGATTGAACTCAGGGGCATTCAACCATTGAGCCACATCCCCAGCCCTATTTTTTATTTTATTTAGAGACAGGGTCCCAGTGAGTTGCTTAGCACCTCGCTTTTGCTGAGGCTGGCTTTGAACCCTCCTGTCTCAGCCTCCCTAGCCACTGGGATTACAGGTGTGTGCCACCACCCAGCCAACTCTAGGTTTCTTTCTAGTGAGTTAATCTAGAGGATCTGGCCTTTAGGTAGATAAGAGGACTTCAGAGAAAGTTCCTCTCTGTTTCAGAAGGAAAAGAAGAGTGGGGAGTCAGACTAGTTTTCAGACTGCTTCTTCAGTTCAAAGAACTCAGTATATCAAAGAATTATACTTTGGGGCATATAGACATTTTTATTCAAATATATATTTTTATAGTTATATGTATTTGTATTTATATATTTCATATGTAGTTGAAGCTCAAACTAAGAAATATTTACATATTCTATATTATTACATATATTCATTTATATATAGAGAAAAATATATATAAATATGTAAGTATAAATAGACACTGATTCCTTAAAATCTTATATATACGTGGGAGAAGGAAAGGAAGGA